CTTTCCAATAAACACAAGTATTTTATAACATTAATTATTGTCGAAAAGTATTTTTTATATTTGAGGAATACCTACTTTATAAGGTATATTGTATTTTTGTATGTAATGTAAATATAAATAATAATAATACACTATGTATTTAATGTTATTAAATAATTGTAGTATTTTATTATAAAATATATAAACGTTTATAATTTTTTTTAATTGTGATCTTTTATACCGTATCTTCTTTACTATTTATTCCTATACAGATCTGAAAAAATACGATTGAATTCAAATTCAAAAATACCAGTATAACGCCAAACGTAAACATTGAGCCTCAGCCAAAATTATTATGATTACTGTAAAATAAAGGAAAAATCAAAGGCCTACGCTTGTATGTGTTGTAAATCCGCATTTCAAACAAGCTGTGGAGGTATTGTTGGAAGAGCTAGAAGGATTTGCGATCCTAATTAATTGAATAACGAGCTAAAAACACTTGTAAAGAACTTTTGAGTGGAAGAGTTACAATAAACAAGAAATAGGAAGAATACTCCACCCGATGAACCCTGAATTCCATAGGAATAGAGCTGAAAAGGAATCTGTGGAACCAAAAAGTTTTACTTGTATACGCTATATACACAAAGTCATGGATTGGCATCAAAACGGTCTTTGAGCTAGTTCGAACCATACAACAGTATTTGAGATCGGCCAAAAACAAAAGTTATTTTTTAACAGCATCAAGAATATGCAGAATACCATGCAGTTGCGACTATGTAGCATTAGCACCGTAGTTGCGGAACTCGAAAGGAGCTGTTGGGTAGAACAAATAGATAAATCATCAGTTCTTAAACACGTACTTATAGAAGGACACCAAATCATTTTCGAAGACTAAGAGCACTTATTTCTGTTACACCTTGTATAGAATTAGTTTTATCCTTCAGAAGCTGTAGTAATACGTATAGTATCAGGTAAAATGTTTAATAAAGCAATTTTAAATACAGGCGGCGATTAAAAAATAGACGGTATAATTTAGAAAAACCGCAACAGTACATATATGAACGATGTAGGCATCCGATCAGCGTTTGCGCCGTTGAGGAACCTAAAAGAATTATTAAAAAGAAGGGGTATCATCGAACTAGTTCTAATAGAGTGTAAAGAAAATACTTACTGTTAAAAGACATTTCACAGTACGCAAATAAGTTCATAGACTGATACTAAACTTGTAATGTAATTACAGACGTACAACCTATTCAAGAAAAACAACTGCAACAAGTAATACTCAACGATTTCCATATGCTACCTACAGGTGGTCATATAGGTACCAAGACAATGCAATGTACAAATTGATAATTCAAAAATATTATTTTTTTTATTTAATATGTTGAAAATTTGGTACAACGTTGTGAAAGTTGCCAAAGGTACAAATATTCTAATATTACAATGCAACCAATGGAGATTACCACAACACCGGAGCAGCACTCAAAACAGATTTAGTTGGAGCTTGTGAGACTACTGGAAAGGGATCAGTTGGGAAATCGTTTCGTTTTAATTATATAATGTGAGTTACGTAAGTTTATTGAAGCATGTCTTTTATCTAATAAAGAAACGGCTACCGTAGCAAGAATTTTTATTAAAAATTTCAAATTGCGTTACGGAGTGCCTCATCAAATAGTTATAGATCAAGGTACAGAATCTTTGGCTAATACGTTTAATAAAAGTTGCGAATCGTTGGGGAAAAAGAAACTGAATTATTAATTGCATATGACCACGAGACATTAGGTGCTATTGAAAATTCACCTAAAAATTTAGGCGTTTATTTTTGATAATACTCGTTTAAACATTTTTGATGTTAGTTGCTTAGTTGATACACCACACGTACTTGTTTTTGGAAAAATTACTAAACTGCCATCTGACCTACCTAATTATGTGGAATCTTTAAACAGCTTTAACAATTACCAATTAGAATTGAAATTTCGGTTACAAACAGCATGGAAAAATTGTCGCTCAACTACATATATAACTTAGAAGATAAAATAATGTTAAAAAATACTAGTAGTAACAAAAAGGATTCTATTCTTGAAGGACTTTATGATTTAGTGTTGTTAAAAATTGTAGTCATCATCATCATAAGGTCGTCAGTCTTAAGATTGATTTGACATGCACCTCCACTCTTTCCTATCCTGAGCTAATTTTTGTATTTCCCTAAAACTAGAACAATCCAAATCCTTAATTGTTTGAGAACAGTAAACTAATCTAGGTTCGCCTATAACATTTCCAACGCTTTTCTTTTCCGCCGCGCCCACTCTCTATGTTTCACACCCGTACAGCGCCGAGCTAGAAACAACCACAACCTACTACTTCTTCCGTCCTAGATACCTAAAAGTAGCCACTTCTTCTAATTTTCGTCTCCTACCTTTATATACGCTCTTTCCCTACTTTTTCTGCCCTTGCATACTAGTATTTTTGTTTTACTTTTATTTATTTTCATACAGTACTGTTTTGTCAGTACCGCTTCTATTATATTTATCTCTAACTCTTTGCCAGATGCTAATACTGTTATATCATTTGCAAATCTAACCATACGAATCTTTTACCCCTTCATATCTATCCCTACATTTGTACTCCCTTTAATGAGTATTGTTCACGTCTTTGATGTATAGATTAAAAAGTAACGGTGACAGTGTGCATCCCTGTCTGACTCCCTTCCTAATATTACTTTTCTACGTTGCAACCCCAGCTCTTTAACTGCTTGTTACTACAAATACAATACAAATATAATTCTTCTATCTTTGTAACTCATCCCTACATTTTTAAGTATATTTAACATTTAACATCTTGTCCCATTCAGTATTGTCAAACGCTTTTTCTAAATCTACGCACTGTTTCCTTTTTCCATAGTTTTTTCTATTGTTATCCGTCAAGCTAGAATGGCCTCACGCGTTCCTCTATTTCTTCTAAACCCAAATTGATCTTCACCTAATAGTTCTTTCGCCCTTTTTCTCATTCTCCTCTGTACAATTCTAGTTAAGATTTTTAACGAAGGGAAGTTAAGCTAATTGTTCTAAATGTCTCGCACTTATCCGTGCCTCTCTTTTTAGGTAGCCTACTACCACGTTCCTCTGGAACTTTCCCCGTCTCGTAAATGTTACTAACTACCTTAAACATACGATCTCTAACCTCTTGTCCTGCAAGTTTTAAAATTTCTCCCTGTATCCTATCTACACCTGGCGCCTTATTATTCTTTACGTTTTTTAATACTACATCTAACTCTTCTCCAGTTGTGGAATAACCTAGTTCATCTATCTCCACACTATCTTCCTTCTCTAATTCATGGCCTGCGTATATGTTCTCTAAATATTCTTTCCACCTGTCTGCCTATTTCTCATTTTCTATCAAAATGACCTCTGCCTCGTTTCTTATATTATTACTACTGTATCCTACATCTCTAAAATTCCTTTTAATTATATAAGTCTCATTGATTTTACCTACTTCAAACTTTTCTTCTACTTCTTTATACCTATCAATTCACTGTTCCTTAGCTGCCCTACAATTTCTAATTATCTCCCACTTTATAGTCTTATATCTTTTTTGCCCATCTGTTCTGTTTTTGTATTTCCGCCTTATTTTTTCAATCAGCACATTGTTCCACAGCCTCAATAAGTCACAGCACAGGCAATGATCTCAAGTACAAGACATAAAGCTGTGCCCCTTCTAGAGTCAATTTTGAATTATACTCATTAATATTTACAAATATACGAATTATATATTTTTTCTATCAGCACATTGTTCTATGGCCCTAGTAAGTCACAGCACAACCAATCCTCTTGAGTACCTTATGATAAACTTTTTATTAAATGCGGACTTTATGAAATGATGTCAGATTTGGGACACATTTCAGCACATTTTTTTCTATCGAAAATCCCAAGATGGCGGGTACAACATTATGGACATGGCAAAAGATTAGTATACTTAGATTTTAGTAGCAGTATTAGAATCTGACAAAGAGATAGAGATAGTCTTAAATAAAGTGGAAGCAATATTGACAAAACACTGGTATGAAAATAAAAACAAAAGTAAAACAAACATATTGATATGCGGAAGAAGAAATAGAGAAATAGTGAATATAGATAGAAATGCATAATTATGAAACTTTGACACTTAATAGGGGTTAACATCAAACATTAATATGAAAGTTTACAAATTTCTTCAAGTTAATGAGGGAAAAATTTGTTGCTGTTGTCACACCCTTGCCGGGAATCGAACCTGAAGATAGAAGACGAAAAATAAAAAGAAGTCGCTGATTTTCGGTATGTATTAGGAAGTCAGATAATTTAGGACGGAAGGAGCAGTGGAGATATAATATAAAGGATAGTGTCGATGCCAATTGGAGAGTAGTGGACTTTATTATAAGGGTTTGAAAAAACACTTGACCGCTTTCGTTTTTATTTTTAGTAACTTTTATTACAAACACAA